GATGAACGCGACCGCCACTGCGACATCCTTCCCAGTACCGTATCGGCCTAATGCTGAATGAGCCCTCATCGCATCGGCACCATCACCATCGGCTGGGTTCATATCAGTGTCCGTAGGTCCAGGATGCACAGTATTAACGGTGATGCCACGCGGTCCTAGCTCACGAGCAAGTCCTCGTGTAAAGGAAAGTAGGGAGGACTTGGACATGGAATAGACTGTGACCGATTCAAAGGCCACACGCTCCGCCAGACAGGAACCGATATTGATGATTCTTCCGCCCTCTCCAAGATAGGTAATGGCTGCTTGAGAAGCCAAGATCACTGCTCTAATGTTTACGGCGATGATCTGGTCTATCTGATCCAGCGGCATTGTCTCTAGCGGGCAAATAAAAGCGACCCCCGCATTGTTTACTAGTATGTCCAACCCTCCTAAAAGCCTAGCTGCCTCATGTACAGAACGCGTAGCTGCTTGGGGATCCGCACTATCGGCCTGGATAGGGAAGGCTTTAACACCCAATCCCTCAATTTCTCTGGCCAGTTCCTCCGCCGCATCCCCAGAGCGAACATAGCTGAAAGCAATATCAGCTCCTTTTTTTGCCAACTCGATAGCGATAGCTGCGCCAATACCACGTGCAGCGCCAGTGATGAATGCACGTTTGCCTGAAAGTTCTTTCATAACTGTCCCATTAGTAGATTTGAGATTTACCGCGACCATTCGGGGTCACTAAACCCAGAAGCTGAAGCTTAAGCGTCACTAGCGCTTTGCAAAACGACTTAGTCCCCTCGATTTACGCCATACGGTTTAGTCGAACTTGTTTCTCCTTCCGAAATTAGAATCTACTGATGAGGCGGCTTTAAGAGGAATAGACTTTCGGTACAGCGCTCAAATACGCCGTTGCAAAGGGATTGCGCCGAGCGCAATGAACCCTGAGCGTGCAGTTAAGACACTTCAGCCTCAACCGCAACCTCATAAGCGCTAACACCCTGATGTGCGGCCAGCCGTCTGATGCTTTGAGGAGGGTGCCCGATAACTCTGATGAAGGCTCTGCGCATCCGCTCCGGATCCTTGAAGCCAACCGAGTGTGCTATCAGTTCGATCGGTTCCGCCCCACGTTCAACGCGCAGCCTCGCGACCTCGACACGCAAACGCTCCACAGCTTTAGCGGGTGTTTCCCCCGTTTCCAGCAGAAAGGCTCGACCAAATTGGCGCAAGCTGAGGCAAGCAATTGATGCCAGATGCTCTGTTGATAGCTGTTCGTTTAGATGCTCTCGCATGTAGGAAAGCACCTCCCTCATGCGATCCGTCGTCGGCTCCATATCGGCCATGGCCGAAAATTGTGACTGCCCTCCTGGCCGACGGTGGTACACGACCATGGCGCGGGCGACCTCATGGGAAACAGCATTTCCCAGATCCTCCTCAATCATGGCCAGCGCCAGATCGATTCCCGCAGAGATGCCAGCAGACGTCCAGATGCCACCATCCTTCGTAAATATATGATTGGGCTGTACCCGCACCTTCGGAAAATTGCGTTGCAGTCGCGCGGTCTGCCTCCAGTGTGTAGTAGCCCTGCGACCGTCTAACAGGCCCGCCGAAGCCAATAGAAAAGCCCCGGTGCAAACACTCGCAACTCGCCTGGTACCTTTCGCGGCCGCATTAGCGAGGTGGTCCGACACCATGGGAAGGTCATAGGGTTTGGAAAAAGCCTTACCGCCAACCACTATCAACGTATCGTACGGGCTTGATCTGATCTTCTGACTCCTTACTTCCAGACCAGACGAACTCATAACGGGACCGCCCGACAACGAGACTACCGAACAGCAGTAGGGATCTGATACCCCGATCTCTTTAGCGATTTCAAAGGCGGCCAGCGGACCACTAAGGTCCAGAATCTGAAACTCGGGAAAGACCAGGAAAGCGATGTCACGCATGGAATTACCTTCTCCAAAAATCATTGATCCTGTTCACAATTACTATTCCCTGCCAGCCTCCTGTTGGCGATTTTCGTACTGCTTGCCTCGGATGATCCTCTAAAAGTCGTATGGCGAAAAGAGCAAAAAACCCTCAAAAAACGTCATCCTAATTTTTCGCCTTGTAGTCCCGCTTCGCTATTTGCGTTCCTGTCTGTGACATCCGCTGGCCAATGCAGCATGACGGCCAAAAAAGGAGGGAAGTAAGTCCTTTCTCCCGCCATAAGTGACATAGAGAATGCTCCCGTTTCTCAACGGGAGAGTCGTCATGGCTGTAAGGGCTGTCACCTCAAATCTTCTTGGCTGGAGGCGGGTGCAATGAGTACATCAAAGTCGTCGGAAGACATTCCAGCGCCAGAAAAAACGTCAAGTCGCTCGAATGTGGCTGTGTTGGCCATAGCCCAAGGATTATTCACGGCGGCCATCGCGATCGATCTCACATTGACCGGTTTGACGGGATATCAGCTTGCCCCTGATAAATCGCTCGCGACTCTGCCTTTTGCACTGATCACCGTAGCAGGCGCCATTGCGACATATTTCGCTTCTACTCTGATGCAGAAGATCGGAAGACGGCGTGGATTTGTGCTAGGTGCCTTCACCTGCGCAATAGGCGGATCGATTTCCGTATGGGCGGTCTTCCTGAACTCTTTCTGGCTATTCTGCATCGGGACAGCGGCCGTCGGTATCTTTCAAGCGTTCGCCCAGTATTACCGTTTGGCGGCGACAGATTCGGAACCTGACGACCGCAAAGCACGCGCAATCTCGTTGGTGCTTGCGGGCGGAGTGATCGCCGCTATTCTTGGGCCTTTGTTAGCGAGTTGGAGCACGCATTTATTCGATACCCTATTCGCCGGTTCTTATTTGATGGTATGCCTGCTCGGCATTGCCTCGGCAGCATTACTTTGGTTAGGCTATGAAGATGCACTTCCAGAATCATTGGAGCTGCATGGCCACGAACAGCCGCCACGCAAGTTACTTACAATATTTCGACAGCCAGTTTCACTAGCGGCACTCGCGAATAACGTCATAGGCGGCGTGGTGATGATGTTCATCATGACTGCAACACCGCTGGCGGCTGTCGCCAGCAATCACTCAATAAATGATGGCGCCAGCATTATTCAATGGCATTTAGTAGGTATGTACGCGCCGTCACTATTTGCTGGACGCCTGATTTCCCGATTCGGATTGCCTTCGATTTTGTTCTTGGGAATTGCACTTAGTGCAGCTTGCGGATTGATTGCACATTGTTCGGACAGCTTGGCGGCATTCTATATTGCACTTCTTTTTTTAGGCGTGGGATGGAATTTTATGTTTGTGGGCGGCACAGTCTTACTGACTGCTTCGCATCATCCCTCCGAGAAGGCTAGGGTGCAGGGAGTGGCAGAGTTTATTCGATACACGTTCACTGCATTTGCAACTTTGGCCGCCGGCCCTCTATTGCAATCACTTGGCTGGAAGGGTATGAACAATATGATTTTCCCACTATTAGCGGTATGCGCTGTTATTACCTTGTGGTGGGTCTGTATCGAACGCAGAATAAAAAACGCAACCAGTGAACACGTCTCGGGCAGCGAAAACCGATCGGCGACATAATTATCCGATCGTGCCGCACACCTTTTAAAATCGGTATCGCTGGAGATCCAAAAAGCTTGGCGCTTTAAGAAACACCACCTCATGTTGCTGTGAATGAGCCATCGGAACTTGGCATTCACACAACAGTTAAGCTAGAACAGAGTTAATCTTGGAGTCATGATGAGCGCTAATTCTAAACCCCGCACTAGGCTGGCACTTTATTCCGCAGGTATACTTATTATTTTCGGAGTCGTTGCCTTTGGCGTGGTCGATAACTCAGAGAAAGCTGTAGCACAGGACGGCCCGCCCCCAGTCCAAGAGGTAGATGTCGTGGTCGTTAAAAAAGAAACGGTTACCGACTGGCAAACTTACTCTGGCCGATTAGCAGCGGTGGAAAAAGTTGAGGTTAGGCCGCTGGTGGCAGGAACCATAACGGACGTCAACATACATGACGGCCAATTGGTAAAAAAAGGGGACACTCTGTTCGTCATCGATCCACGACCTTACCAAGCACAAGTCGAACGAGCTAAGGGGCAGGTTGCAGCAGCTCAGTGCTCGCGCCGCGTACACGAAAAGCGACTGGGAGAGGGCACAGCGCCTAATTGCCGAAAATGCAATAGCGAAACGTGACTACGATGAAAAAAACAACGCAGCATTGGAGGCCAGTGCCAATCTTAAGACTGCTGAAGCGGCGCTGGATGCAGCTAAAATTGATCTCGGCCATACCCAGATTACAGCTCCAATTTCTGGTCGCGTATCGCGGGCAGAAATAACACTTGGAAACATCGTAAACGCCGGGGCAGGCGCGGCGCCTTTAACAATGCTTGTCTCTGTGAACCCCATTTATGCAGAGTTCAACGCTGATGAGCAGACTTATCTTAAGTACATCAACAGACTCGGCAATAAGGCTATTGTTCCGGTTGATCTAGGGCTTGCAGATGAGACAGGGTATTCGCGCCGAGGAGTCATCCAATCCGTAGACAATGAACTCGACACTACCTCAGGCACTATCCGCATGCGTGCACGGTTTGACAACACTGATGGCGCCATGGTCCCGGGGCTATATGCGCGTGTAAAAGTGGGCGGCAGTGAACCATACGCGGCCCTTCTTATTGATGATGCGGCAATTGGCACCGATCAAGACAAGCGATTTGTCTTGGTCGTGGGAAAGGATGACCATATTGTTTATCGCCCGGTAGCGCTGGGAAATCTACAAGGCAATGATCGCATTATCACGTCCGGACTCGAAGAGGGCGAACGGGTGGTGGTAGGCGGTATTCAGCGAGTCCGTCCAGGGGAGCAGGTTCTAGGAAAGATAATTCCCCAAAGTGACGCTCAGGCTAGAAACGCTCACTGACCCACGACAGCACTAACTAAAATTTACCAATAAACAATGAATGCCCCTCAGGCACTTAGGATTTATTGGTCCGTGCATTGATTATAAATCCTAGTGCATCCTTAAGCGTCCTGTTGTCTTTTTTTAACCCTCAAGCAGCGCTGAGAGAAAGTAGCCGCCTCACTTAAAGAGTCATGTAATGAACATATCAAAGTTCTTCATTGATCGTCCGATCTTTGCGGGCGTACTATCCGTGGTGATCCTGCTTGCAGGGTTGATAGCAATATTTAAATTGCCGATTTCTGAGTACCCAGAGGTCGTTCCGCCCTCGGTCACAATCAGCGCACAGTATCCTGGAGCGAACCCAAAAGTCATTGCCGAGACAGTTGCTGCGCCGCTTGAGGAAAAAATTAACGGCGTTGAGAATATGCTGTATATGCAGTCCCAAGCGAACAGTGACGGTAACCTGACCATCACTGTAACTTTCGCATTAGGAACTGACCCGGACTTGGCTACCCAGTTGGTACAGAACCGAGTCAATCAAGCATTGCCACGATTGCCCGAAGATGTACAACGATTGGGTGTTACTACGCTCAAAAGCTCTTCCTCATTAGTTCTTTTTCTGCACCTCGTGTCGCCGAATGATCGGTACGACACAACGTATTTGAGAAACTATGGCCTACGGAACGTCAAAACGCGCTTTGAGCGGATACCTGGCGTTGGCCGTGTCGATATGTGGGGGCAGGTGACTACGCAATGCGTGTGTGGCTTGATCCGCAGAAGGTGGCACAGCGTAATCTCACCGCCTCGGAGATTGTCACTTCCATTCAAGAACAGAATATTCAGGTTGCTGCGGGTGCCGTTGGTGCTGCGCCTTCTTCGCCGGGTACTGCAGTTCAGCTGACAATCAATGCCCAGGGTCGCTTGAAGACCGTCGACGAGTTCCGCAACATCGTTCTCAAAACTAGCCCGAATGGCGCAGTTACTCATCTGCGGGATGTCGCCCGAGTCGAACTCTCTGCGGCTGAATACGGATTGCGTGCGCTACTGGACAACAAACCCGCCGTCTCCCTCGCCATCTACCAGTTGCCTGGCGCTAACGCGCTGGAGATCTCTGATCAAATCCGCGCTGCACTCAAAGATCTCAGCGCTGATTTCCCTCCAGGCCTGGATTACAGGCTTATCTACGACCCCACTCGCTTCGTGAAATCGAGCATTCAGGCGGTTATAGAAACACTGCTCGAAGCCATCGCGCTGGTGGTCGTGGTCGTCATTGTGTTCCTCCAATCATGGCGTACAGCGATCATCCCTTTAATCGCTGTACCGGTGTCCATCATCGGTACCTTTGCGTTATTGCTGGCCTTCGGCTTCTCGATCAATGCCCTGTCGCTTTTCGGAATGGTGTTAGCCATTGGTATCGTCGTTGACGATGCCATCGTTGTGGTTGAAAACGTGGAGAGGAACATAGCCAGCGGTCTGACTCCGAGGGACGCCACGTATAAAGCCATGCGAGAGGTCAGCGGCCCCATCATTGCCATCGCACTCACGTTGGTTGCTGTGTTTGTACCGTTGGCATTTATGAGCGGTCTCACGGGCCAGTTCTACAAGCAGTTCGCGATGACCATTGCGATCTCTACAGTGATCTCTGCTTTCAACTCACTCACGCTCTCTCCAGCCCTCAGCGCACTACTTTTGCGTAGCCACGACGCTAAGCAAGACGCCTTAACGCGGGTGATGAATAAGCTACTGGGCGGTTTTTTCGAGCATTCAACAAGGTGTTTAATCGTGGCTCGGAGCAATACTCGAAAGGCGTAACAGGCATCCTTAAGCGCAAGGGCAGCATGCTGGTTGTTTATGTGGTTCTTCTGGGTCTCACGGCGGTTATGGGGAACGTTGTGCCTGCTGGGTTTATTCCCATGCAGGACAAGGAGTACTTGGTCACCATCGCCCAGCTTCCCAATGGCGCTTCTCTTGACCGAACGGAAGAAGTGATTCGCCAGATGAGCGAAATAGTCATGAAGCAGCCGGGCGCCGCTCACGCAGTCGGCTTCCCTGGCATGTCCGTTAACGGATTCATGAACAGTTCTAGCGCAGGGATTGTCTTTGTCCCCCTCAAGCCTCTCAGCGAGCGTACATCGAAAGATGAGTCCGCCGCGGCCATCGTCGCATCCCTTAACCAAAAGTTCGCCAGTATCAAAGGAGCCTATGTCGCAGCCTTTCCACCGCCTCCAATACTTGGGCTTGGCACACTGGGTGGCTTCAAAATGCAGCTGGAAGACCAAGGTAGCCTCGGGTATGAGGAGCTTAACAAAGCCGCTCAAGCATTCATGGCCAAGGCTGCAGTGACCCCGGAGCTTGGTGGGTCACTGACAAACTATCAGATCAACTTCCCGCAGCTAAACGTCGAGCTAGACCGTGTGAAAGCCAAACAGCTGGGCGTGTCTGTTACCGATGTATTCAAGACCATGCAGGTATACCTTGGCTCCTTGTATGTGAATGACTTCAACAGTTTCGGCCGTGTATATCAGGTACGAGTACAGGCCGACGCACCGTTTCGTCAGCGAGCAGATGACATCCTTCAGCTGAAAACCAGAAACGACCGTGGAGAAATGGTGCCCCTATCGTCTCTGGTTCGTATCACCCCAACCTACGGTCCGGACATGGTGGTTCGGTATAACGGCTACACCGCAGCGGATATTAACGGCGGCCCAGCGCCGGGCTATTCGTCTGGCCAGGCCCAAGCAGCAGCAGAGCGCATTGCAGCCGAGGTGTTGCCACAAGGCGTAAAATTCGAGTGGACTGAGCTGACTTACCAAAAGGTTTTGGCAGGTAATGCCGGTATGTGGGTCTTCCCTGTCAGCGTCCTGCTCGTATTCCTCGTACTGGCCGCACTGTACGAAAGCTTGACCCTCCCTTTGGCGGTAATCCTGATCGTTCCCATGAGTATCTTGTGCGCACTCACGGGGGTGTGGCTCACGCAAGGAGACAACAACATCTTTACCCAGATCGGGTTGATGGTATTGGTCGCTTTGGCTTCCAAAAACGCCATCTTGATCGTCGAGTTCGCCAGAGAACTAGAGCACGACGGGTACACGCCGCTGAAGGCTGCCATTGAAGCGAGCCGCTTGCGTCTCCGGCCGATTCTCATGACTTCGATCGCCTTCATCATGGGCGTTGTTCCACTCGTGTTTTCCACTGGGGCGGGCTCAGAAATGCGCCAAGCCATGGGGGTCTCGGTGTTTTTCGGCATGTTGGGCGTGACCCTGTTCGGTCTCGCACTGACACCTGTCTTCTACGTGGTCCTGCGTACGCTGGCAGGTGGCAAAGTACACGTGGCTCAAAAAAGACGCGCCTCACCTGACAACGGAAGCATTGGACGCATGATCGGAGCCAAACGAATGATCCAATTACCCAAAAGTCTATTTTTGGACTGCTAACTTCCTCAGCGCTGCTATCGCTTCTATCAGCATGCTCTGTGGAGCCGACATACAACCGCCCCGACGTCCCGACTCCGCAGGCGTTCAAGGAAGCTTCGACTGAACAGAAGCAAGCATCATTGCCCAAAGATAGCGCCTGGAAAAACGCTGAACCAGCCGATGCCGAGCATCGTGGGAATAAGTGGCTAGTCTTTGGCGATTCGGTGCTAAACGACCTGGAGCGGCAAGCCGCAGAGGCTAATCAGAATCTGAAGGCGGCTGCCGCACGAGTCCAGCAATCGAGAGCCTTGACCCAATCAGCCCGAGCGGGATGGTTCCCGTCCCTAGATGCGGGATTTGGTCCTACGCGTGAACGCCTGTCTCCTGCCTCACAATTGTTGTCTGACGATGCGAGTGGGTCCACGCAGACTCTTTGGCGGGCGCAGGCGACAGCCTCTTACGAGGTAGACCTGTTCGGGAAGGTGGCTTCACAAGTGAACACCGCGCTCGCTAATCAAGCACAGAACGAGGCGCTGTATCGTTCTGTGCTGTTAGCCCTCCAAGCTGACGTGGCTAAAAATTATTTCGAGTTGCGTGAGTACGACAACCAACTTCGACTATTTCGTCGTACGGTCACCCTGCGTGAAAACACCTTGAAATTAGTAGAGGGGCGATTCAAAGAGGGCGACATAAGCGAACTTGACCTCTCGCGAGCGCGCAACGAACTATCGACCGCGAGGGCGGACTCGGTAGGGATCGCACGGCTGCGTGCGACGTCAGAACATAGTCTTGCAGTGTTGTTGGGTAAGTCTCCTGCCGACTTCGACTTCCTGACTCACCCATAGAGCCCATCGCGACCCAGGTGCCTATCGGGTTACCATCAGCCCTACTGGAGCGCCGTCCAGATATTGCTGCCGCCGAGAGAGCTATGGCCGCGGCTAACGCACAAATCGGATTGGCGAAATCAGCATTTTTCCCGCGGCTTAACATAAATGCCGCCGCCGGCTTCGAGTCGTCATCGCTGGGGAATCTGTTCGACTGGTCGACTCGGTCTTTTCTACTAGGCCCCTTGCGGGAACGGCGCTGACGTTACCGATATTTGATGGTGGTCGGAGGAAAGCAGATCTCGCCTCTGCAAGGGCTCGATACGACGAGCAGGTTGCGAAGTATCGGGAGCAAGTATTGGTGGCGTTTAGAGAGGTAGAGGACAACCTGGCAGATCTGAGGTTGCTCGATGATCAGAAAGGTAATCAAAGCGAAGCTGTTGCAGCATCAATACGGACAGAGCGACTTTCTAAAACTCAGTATGAAGAGGGGCAAATTAGCTATTTGGAAGTTATCGATGCTCAGCGCCAGGTCTTACAAACCGAACTGCAACTGAGCCGTCTGACGGGCACTCAGGCCATTGCAACGGTGAGCCTGATTAGAGCCTTAGGTGGGGGTGGGACCGAGCCGACGCTAACATTGCCTCCAATGGGCGTTAGCGGTAATCACGCAGCCTGAACGGCTTTGAATTGCTCATAAAAAAGCGGGTCAACTTGGCCCGCTTTTTATGCTTCAAACCCAACGGAAATTTCCCGACCAGAGCCAAACCGCAGTAAGCGTCCGCTCAACACACCTTGCCTAATTAGACGGGTGCCTACCTGTCGCAAGATTGCACTCCAGTTGACTACGCGTTTGCATTCGATTTGACCTTTCATTGTGAGCGTCCGGCGACCTGACCTAGGTACTCGGCACCGATCGCCTGAATGCAGGAGTCTCGCAATCTGTTTTCCCGGAACGCTTACGCAAAAAACCGCAACCCTACAGTTCACGTACCATCACCAAGTCTCGGTGGACATCATCGCCGCATTGAAAACTGGTTTCTCCTACTGTCAAAAATCCATTACGCTGGTAGAAGCCTATTGCGCGGGCATTCTGATCATTCACCGTGAGCCGGATACGTTCTGAAATACCAGCAAGCGTCTCAGTTAAGAGGAGCTGTGCGGCACCGGTTCCATGGTGTTTTGAATCGACATAGCATCGTTTCAACTCAGGGATGCCATCCGCCAGTAGGATGTTTAATCGATCTGGTTTGTAGTCGACCAAACTGAAACCCACAATATCTCCGGCTTTCTCCAACACTCGCACCTCTTGGCTTGACGTATCCAGCGCGATTTGAAAACAACGCGCGGTCAGATTTTCGCTGATGTAGCGCTCCAGTTCTTCTGCTGGAGTGTCTGCTGGGCACGCCAGTGAAAAGGTAGCCTTCGCGATTCTACTCATGCTCTCAGAGTCACCCATTATCGCTGGACGCACACGCATTCATCGCTCCTTGGATTGGTAGATATTAGCGCGTACCGACGACTGAGGAGGCAGCTACGCAAATCAAGTGTTACGAAATGAGCCTATGGAATGCAAGCCTGTCGAGAGCCCATGAGCGCGAATAATGACCAAACAAGTAGCCTCGGCGGGACTACAACAGAGCTGTGAGGTCAGTTCGTATGCGTCCGCCGAAGTCACGTTGCATGACTAAGCAGATATGCGCCGCCGATCCTCATCGCTCATATCCCGGGCGAGTAGCTCAACTTCGTACAAGCCGCCAATCGAGTGCAGTGCCTAACAAACCGCAGCCAGCCGGGACCGGTTTTGGACCCTTCGCGAACTTACGATTCTGGGCTAGGGCCCCAGCTCCCCGAAGCAGCGATTCTTGACGGAAGAAACCTGCAGTTTGGTGCCGCCGTAAGTGGACCATCCTGTGACCGGTAATGAGGGAAAAATGTCGTTTCCGCCTCCTGTAGTCAGACGTAGAGTCGAACGTTCGAACGGCAAGATTGACTTATCCTCATCCAGGAGAAGGACGCTCATCACTGTTCAGGCGCTTCAATGCAAGGCGAGAAATGGCCAAAAAGGGCTTGGGATCCCAGCGAATCACCCGATGTTTGCAACGAACAAAAGCGGCTATGAGAGTCATGGCTACTCATGACGCCCTGCCCAAAAGTAGCACATTGAAGATCGCGATTTTTTGACCTAGACCGCTAAAAAAACAAAGCGAAACTTTCTAACAGGTAAATGCATGTATGAGCGAAAAAGACATTGTTATTGACCGGTGCCAAGTCGTGGCTTAGGCCATGCCACCGTCAAACACTTTCAAGCCGCTGGGTGGAGGATTTTCACCGCCTCTCGCCAGGACTGGGTCGCTGAATGCCCATGGGCCGATGGTTTGCTCAACCACATTCATCTTGATCTCGAAGATATTGATAGCGCTCAGTGACAGTCTACGCTTCCATCAGGGAAAAGTTGGGCGGGCGCTTGGATGGATTGGTAAACAATGCCGGAGTTTCGCCTAAGGGGCCTGAGGGGACGTCTTGGTGTTCTGAGGGCCGTAGAAAACAGATTGACATTGAAGACCTTGATCCAGGTTGCATAGTCGGACTCCAGAACACCAAGACGTGTCCCCTCAGGCCCCTTAGGCGAAACTCCGGCATTGTTTACCAATGCATCCAAGCGCCCGCCCAACTTTTCCCTGATGGAAGCCAGACTGTCACTGACGCTATCAATATCTTCGAGATCAAGATGAATGTGGTTGAGCAAACCATCGGCCCATGGGCATTCAGCGACCCAGTCCTGGCGAGAGGCGGTGAAAATCCTCCACCCAGCGGCTTGAAAGTGTTTGACGGTGGCATGGCCTATGCCACGACTGGCACCGGTCAATAACAATGTCTTTTCGCTCATACATGCATTTACCTGTTAGAAAGTTTCGCTTTGTTTTTAGCGGTCTAGGTCAAAAAAATCGCGATCTTCAATGTGCTACTTTTGGGCAGGGCGTCATGAGTGGCCATGACTCTCATAGCCGCTTTTGTTCGCTGCAAACATCGGGTGATTCGCTGGGATCCCAAGCCCTTTTGGCCATTTCTCGTTTCCTTGCATTGAAGCGCCTGAACAGTGATGAGCGTCCTTCTCCTGGATGAGGATGAGTCAATCTTGCCGTTCGAACGTTCGACTCTACGTCTGACTACAGGAGGCGGAAACGACATTTTTCCCTCATTACCGGTCACAGGATGGTCCACTTACGGCGGCACCAAACTGCAGGTTTCTTCCGTCAAGAATCGCTGCTTCGGGGAGCTGGGGCCCTAGCCCAGAATCGTAAGTTCGCGAAGGGTCCAAAACCGGTCCCGGCTGGCTGCGGTTTGTTAGGCACTGCACTCGATTGGCGGCTTGTACGAAGTTGAGCTACTCGCCCGGGATATGAGCGATGAGGATCGGCGGCGCATATCTGCTTAGTCATGCAACGTGACTTCGGCGGACGCATACGAACTGACCTCACAGCTCTGTTGTAGTCCCGCCGAGGCTACTTGTTTGGTCATTATTCGCGCTCATGGGCTCTCGACAGGCTTGCATTCCATAGGCTCATTTCGTAACACTTGATTTGCGTAGCTGCCTCCTCAGTCGTCGGTACGCGCTAATATCTACCAATCCAAGGAGCGATGAATGCGTGTGCGTCCAGCGATAATGGGTGACTCTGAGAGCATGAGTAGAATCGCGAAGGCTACCTTTTCACTGGCGTGCCCAGCAGACACTCCAGCAGAAGAACTGGAGCGCTACATCAGCGAAAATCTGACCGCGCGTTGTTTTCAAATCGCGCTGGATACGTCAAGCCAAGAGGTGCGAGTGTTGGAGAAAGCCGGAGATATTGTGGGTTTCCAGTTTGGTCGACTACAAACCAGATCGATTAAACATCCTACTGGCGGATGGCATCCCTGAGTTGAAACGATGCTATGTCGATTCAAAACACCATGGAACCGGTGCCGCACAGCTCCTCTTAACTGAGACGCTTGCTGGTATTTCAGAACGTATCCGGCTCACGGTGAATGATCAGAATGCCCGCGCAATAGGCTTCTACCAGCGTAATGGATTTTTGACAGTAGGAGAAACCAGTTTTCAATGCGGCGATGATGTCCACCGAGACTTGGTGATGGTACGTGAACTGTAGGGTTGCGGTTTTTTGCGTAAGCGTTCCGGGAAAACAGATTGCGAGACTCCTGCATTCAGGCGATCGGTGCCGAGTACCTAGGTCAGGTCGCCGGACGCTCACAATGAAAGGTCAAATCGAATGCAAACGCGTAGTCAACTGGAGTGCAATCTTGCGACAGGTAGGCACCCGTCTAATTAGGCAAGGTGTGTTGAGCGGACGCTTACTGCGGTTTGGCTCTGGTCGGGAAATTTCCGTTGGGTTTGAAGCATAAAAAGCGGGCCAAGTTGACCCGCTTTTTTATGAGCAATTCAAAGCCGTTCAGGCTGCGTGATTACCGCTAACGCCCATTGGAGGCAATGTTAGCGTCGGCTCGGTCCCACCCCCACCTAAGGCTCTAATCAGGCTCACCGTTGCAATGGCCTGAGTGCCCGTCAGACGGCTCAGTTGCAGTTCGGTTTGTAAGACCTGGCGCTGAGCATCGATAACTTCCAAATAGCTAATTTGCCCCTCTTCATACTGAGTTTTAGAAAGTCGCTCTGTCCGTATTGATGCTGCAACAGCTTCGCTTTGATTACCTTTCTGATCATCGAGCAACCTCAGATCTGCCAGGTTGTCCTCTACCTCTCTAAACGCCACCAATACTTGCTCCCGATACTTCGCAACCTGCTCGTCGTATCGAGCCCTTGCAGAGGCGAGATCTGCTTTCCTCCGACCACCATCAAATATCGGTAACGTCAGCGCCGTTCCCGCAAGGGGCCTAGTAGAAAAGACCGAGTCGACCAGTCGAACAGATTCCCCAGCGATGACGACTCGAAGCCGGCGGCGGCATTTATGTTAAGCCGCGGGAAAAATGCTGATTTCGCCAATCCGATTTGTGCGTTAGCCGCGGCCATAGCCTCTCGGCGGCAGCAATATCTGGACGGCGCTCCAGTAGGGCTGATGGTAACCCGATAGGCACCTGGGTCGCGATGGGCTCTATGGGTGAGTCAGGGAAGTCGAAGTCGGCAGGAGACTTACCCAACAACACTGCAAGACTATGTTCTGACGTCGCACGCAGCCGTGCGATCCCTACCGAGTCCGCCCTCGCGGTCGATAGTTCGTTGCGCGCTCGCGAGAGGTCAAGTTCGCTTATGTCGCCCTCTTTGAATCGCCCCTCTACTAATTTCAAGGTGTTTTCACGCAGGGTGACCGTACGACGAAATAGTCGAAGTTGGTTGTCGTACTCACGCAACTCGAAATAATTTTTAGCCACGTCAGCTTGAGGGCTAACAGCACAGAACGATACAGCGCCTCGTTCTGTGCTTGATTAGCGAGCGCGGTGTTCACTTGTGAAGCCACCTTCCCGAACAGGTCTACCTCGTAAGAGGCTGTCGCCTGCGCCCGCCAAAGAGTCTGCGTGGACCCACTCGCATCGTCAGACAACAATTGTGAGGCAGGAGACAGGCGTTCACGCGTAGGACCAAATCCCGCATCTAGGGACGGGAACCATCCCGCTCGGGCTGATTGGGTCAAGGCTCTCGATTGCTGGACTCGTGCGGCAGCCGCCTTCAGATTCTGATTAGCCTCTGCGGCTTGCCGCTCCAGGTCGTTTAGCACCGAATCGCCAAAGACTAGCCACCATTCCCCACGATGCTCGGCATCGGCTGGTTCAGCGTTTTTCCAGGCGCTATCTTTGGGCAATGATGCTTGCTTCTGTTCAGTCGAAGCTTCCTTGAACGCCTGCGGAGTCGGGACGTCGGGGCGGTTGTATGTCGGCTCCACAGAGCATGCTGATAGAAGCGATAGCAGCGCTGAGGAAGTTAGCAGTCCAAAAATAGACTTTTTGGGTAATTGGATCATTCGTTTGGCTCCGATCATGCGTCCAATGCTTCCGTTGTCAGGTGAGGCGCGTCTTTTTGAGCCACGTGTACTTTGCCACCTGCCAGCGTACGCAGGACCACGTAGAAGACAGGTGTCAGTGCGAGACCGAACAGGGTCACGCCCAACATGCCGAAAAAACACCGAGACCCCCATGGCTTGGCGCATTTCTGAGCCCGCCCCAGTGGAAAACACGAGTGGAACAACGCCCATGATGAAGGCGATCGAAGTCATGAGAATCGGCCGGAGACGCAAGCGGCTCGCTTCAATGGCAGCCTTCAGCGGCGTGTACCCGTCGTGCTCTAGTTCTCTGGCGAACTCGACGATCAAGATGGCGTTTTTGGAAGCCAAAGCGACCAATACCATCAACCCGATCTGGGTAAAGATGTTGTTGTCTCCTTGCGTGAGCCACACCCCCGTGAGTGCGCACAAGATACTCATGGGAACGATCAGGATTACCGCCAAAGGGAGGGTCAAGCTTTCGTACAGTGCGGCCAGTACGAGGAATACGAGCAGGACGCTGACAGGGAAGACCCACATACCGGCATTACCTGCCAAAACCTTTTTGGTAAGTCAGCTCAGTCCACTCGAATTTTACGCCTTGTGGCAACACCTCGGCTGCAATGCGCTCTGCTGCTGCTTGGGCCTGGCCAGACGAATAGCCCGGCGCTGGGCCGCCGTTAATATCCGCTGCGGTGTAGCCGTTATACCGAACCACCATGTCCGGACCGTAGGTTGGGGTGATACGAACCAGAGACGATAGGGGCACCATTTCTCCACGGTCGTTTCTGGTTTTCAGCTGAAGGATGTCATCTGCTCGCTGACGAAACGGTGCGTCGGCCTGTACTCGTACCTGATATACACGGCCGAAACTGTTGAAGTCATTCACATACAAGGAGCCAAGGTATACCTGCATGGTCTTGAATACATCGGTAACAGACACGCCCAGCTGTTTGGCTTTCACACGGTCTAGCTCGACGTTTAGCTGCGGGAAGTTGATCTGATAGTTTGTCAGTGACCCACCAAGCTCCGGGGTCACTGCAGCCTTGGCCATGAATGCTTGAGCGGCTTTGTTAAGCTCCTCATACCCGAGGCTACCTTGGTCTTCCAGCTGCATTTTGAAGCCACCCAGTGTGCCAAGCCCAAGTATTGGAGGCGGTGGAAAGGCTGCGACATAGGCTCCTTTGATACTGGCGAACTTTTGGTTAAGGGATGCGACGATGGCCGCGGCGGACTCATCTTTCGATGTACGCTCGCTGAGAGGCTTGAGGGGGACAAAGACAATCCCTGCGCTAGAACTGTTCATGAATCCGTTAACGGACATGCCAGGGAAGCCGACTGCGTGAGCGGCGCCCGGCTGCTTCATGACTATTTCGCTCATCTGGCGAATCACTTCTTCCGTTCGGTCAAGAGAAGCGCCATTGGGAAGCTGGGCGATGGTGACCAAGTACTCCTTGTCCTGCATGGGAATAAACCCAGCAGGCACAACGTTCCCATAACCGCCGTGAGACCCAGAAGAACCACATAAACAACCAGCATGCTGCCCTTGCGCTTAAGGATGCCTGTTACGCCTTTCGAGTATTGCCCGAGCCACGATTAAACACCTTGTTGAATGCTCGAAAAAACCGCCCAGTAGCTTATTCATCACCCGCGTTAAGGCGTCTTGCTTAGCGTCGTGGCTACGCAAAAGTAGTGCGCTGAGGGCTGGAGAGAGCGTGAGTGAGTTGAAAGCAGAGATCACTGTAGAGATCGCAATGGTCATCGCGAACTGCTTGTAGAACTGGCCCGTGAGACCGCTCATAAATGCCAACGGTACAAACACAGCAACCAACGTGAGTGCGATGGCAATGATGGGGCCGCTGACCTCTCGCATGGCTTTATACGTGGCGTCCTCGGAGTCAGACCGCTGGCTATGTTCCTCTCCACGTTTTCAACCACAACGATGGCATCGTCAACGACGATACCAATGGCTAACACCATTCCGAAAAGCGACAGGGCATTGATCGAGAAGCCGAAGGCCAGCAATAACGCAAAGGTACCGATGATGGACACCGGTACAGCGATTAAAGGGATGATCGCTGTACGCCATGATTGGAGGAACACAATGACGACCACGACCACCAGCGCGATGGCTTCGAGCAGTGTTTCTATAACCGCCTGAATGCTCGATTTCACGAAGCGAGTGGGGTCGTAGATAAGCCTGTAATCCAGGCCTGGAGGGAAATCAGCGCTGAGATCTTTGAGTGCAGCGCGGATTTGATCAGAGATCTCCAGCGCGTTAGCGCCAGGCAACTGGTAGATGGCGAGGGAGACGGCGGGTTTGTTGTCCAGTAGCGCACGCAATCCGTATTCAGCCGCAGAGAGTTCGACTCGGGCGACATCCCGCAGATGAGTAACTGCGCCATTCGGGCTAGTTTTGAGAACGATGTTGCGGAACTCGTCGACGGTCTTCAAGCGACCCTGGGCATTGATTGTCAGCTGAACTGCAGTACCCGGCGAAGAAGGCGCAGCACCAACGGCACCCGCAGCAACCTGAATATTCTGTTCTTGAATGGAAGTGACAATCTCCGAGGCGGTGAGATTACGCTGTGCCACCTTCTGCGGATCAAGCCACACACGCATTGCGTAGTCACCTGCCCCCACATATCGACACGGCCAACGCCAGGTATCCGCTCAAAGCGCGTTTTGACGTTCCGTAGGCCATAGTTTCTCAAATACGTTGTGTCGTACCGATCATTCGGCGACACGAGGTGCAGAAAAAGAACTAATGAGGAAGAGCTTTTGAGCGTAGTAACACTCCAATCGTTGTACATCTTCGGGCAATCGTGGCAATGCTTGATTGACTCGGTTCTGTACCAACTGGGTAGCCAAGTCCGGGTCAGTTCCTAATGCGAAAGTTACAGTGATGGTCAGGTTACCGTCACTGTTCGCTTGGGACTGCATATACAGCATATTCTCAACGCCGTTAATTTTTTCCTCAAGCGGCGCAGCAACTGTCTCGGCAATGACTTTTGGGTTCGCTCCAGGATACTGTGCGCTGATTGTGACCGAGGGCGGAACGACCTCTGGGTACTCAGAAATCGGCAATTTAAATATTGCTATCAACCCTGCAAGCAGGATCACCACGGATAGTACGCCCGCAAAGATCGGACGATCAATGAAGAACTTTGATATGTTCATTACATGACTCTTTAAGTGAGGCGGCTACTTTCTCCTCAGCGCTGCTTGAGGGTTAAAAAAGACAACAGGACGCTTAAGGATGCACTAGGATTTATAATCAACGCACGGACCAATAAATCCTAAGTGCCTGAGGGGCATTCATTGTTTATTGGTAAATTTTAGTTAGTGCTGTCGTGGGTCAGTGAGCGTTTCTAGCCTGAGCGTCACTTTGGGGAATTATCTTTCCTAGAACCTGCTCCCCTGGACGGACTCGCTGAATACCGCCTACCACCACCCGTTCGCCCTCTTCGAGTCCGGACGTGATAATGCGATCATTGCCTTGTAGATTTCCCAGCGCTACCGGGCGATAAACAATATGGTCATCCTTTCCCACGACCAAGACAAATCGCTTGTCTTGATCGGTGCCAATTGCCGCATCATCAATAAGAAGGGCCGCGTATGGTTCACTGCCGCCCACTTTTACACGCGCATATAGCCCCGGGACCATGGCGCCATCAGTGTTGTCAAACCGTGCACGCATGCGGATAGTGCCTGAGGTAGTGTCGAGTTCATTGTCTACGGATTGATGACTCCTCGGCGCGAATACCCTGTCTCATCTGCAAGCCCTAGATCAACCGGAACAATAGCCTTATTGCCGAGTCTGTTGATGTACTTAAGATAAGTCTGCTCATCAGCGTTGAACTCTGCATAAATGGGGTTCACAGAGACAAGCATTGTTAAAGGCGCCGCGCCTGCCCCGGCGTTTACGATGTTTCGCGTTATTTCTGCCCGCGATACGCGACCAGAAATTGAGCTGTAATCTGGGTATGGCCGAGATCAATTTTAGCTGCATCCAGCGCCGCTTCAGCAGTCTTAAGATTGGCACTGGCCTCCAATGCTGCGTTGTTTTTTTCATCGTAGTCACGTTTCGCTATTGCATTTTCGGCAATTAGGCGCTGTGCCCTCTCCCAGTCGCTTTCGTGTACGCGGCGCGAGCCTGAGCTGCTGCAACCTGCCCCTTAGCTCGTTCGACTTGTGCTTGGTAAGGTCGTGGATCGATGACGAACAGAGTGTCCCCTTTTTTTACCAATTGGCCGTCATGTATGTTGACGTCCGTTATGGTTCCTGCCACCAGCGGCCTAACCCTCAACTTTTTCCACCGCTGCTAATCGGCCAGAGTAAGTTTGCCAGTCGGTAACCGTTTCTTTTTAACGACCACGACATCTACCTCTTGACTGGGGGCGGGCCGTCCTGTGCTACAGCTTTCTCTGAGTTATCGACCACGCCAAAGGCAACGACTCCGAAAATAATAAGTATACCTGCGGAATAAAGTGCCAGCCTAGTGCGGGGTTTAGAATTAGCGCTCATCATGACTCCAAGATTAACTCTGTTCTAGCTTAACTGTTGTGTGAATGCCAAGTTCCGATGGCTCATTCACAGCAACATGAGGTGGTGTTTCTTAAAGCGCCAAGCTTTTTGGATCTCCAGCGATACCGATTTTAAAAGGTGTGCGGCACGATCGGATAATTATGTCGCCGATCGGTTTTCGCTGCCCGAGACGTGTTCACTGGTTGCGTTTTTTATTCTGCGTTCGATACAGACCCACCACAAGGTAATAACAGCGCATACCGCTAATAGTGGGAAAATCATATTGTTCATACCCTTCCAGCCAAGTGATTGCAATAGAGGGCCGGCGGCCAAAGTTGCAAATGCAGTGAACGTGTATCGAATAAACTCTGCCACTCCCTGCACCCTAGCCTTCTCGGAGGGATGATGCGAAGCAGTCAGTAAGACTGTGCCGCCCACAAACATAAAATTCCATCCCACGCCTAAAAAAGAAGTGCAATATAGAATGCCGCCAAGCTGTCCGAACAATGTGCAATCAATCCGCAAGCTGCACTAAGTGCAATTCCCAAGAACAAAATCGAAGGCAATCCGAATCGGGAAATCAGGCGTCCAGCAAATAGTGACGGCGCGTACATACCTACTAAATGCCATTGAATAATGCTGGCGCCATCATTTATTGAGTGATTGCTGGCGACAGCCGCCAGCGGTGTTGCAGTCATGATGAACATCATCACCACGCCGCCTATGACGTTATTCGCGAGTGCCGCTAGTGAAACTGGCTGTCGAAATATTGTAAGTAACTTGCGTGGCGGCTGTTCGTGGCCATGCAGCTCCAATGATTCTGGAAGTGCATCTTCATAGCCTAACCAAAGTAATGCTGCCGAGGCAATGCCGAGCAGGCATACCATCAAATAAGAACCGGCGAATAGGGTATCGAATAAATGCGTGCTCCAACTCGCTAACAAAGGCCCAAGAATAGCGGCGATCACTCCGCCCGCAAGCACCAACGAGATTGCGCGTGCTTTGCGGTCGTCAGGTTCCGAATCTGTCGCCGCCAAACGGTAATACTGGGCGAACGCTTGAAAGATACCGACGGCCGCTGTCCCGATGCAGAATAGCCAGAAAGAGTTCAGGAAGACCGCCCATACGGAAATCGATCCGCCTATTGCGCAGGTGAAGGCACCTAGCACAAATCCACGCCGTCTTCCGATCTTCTGCATCAGAGTAGAAGCGAAATATGTCGCAATGGCGCCTGCTACGGTGATCAGTGCAAAAGGCAGAGTCGCGAGCGATTTATCAGGGGCAAGCTGATATCCCGTCAAACCGGTCAATGTGAGATCGATCGCGATGGCCGCCGTGAATAATCCTTGGGCTATAGCCAACACAGCCACATTCGAGCGACTTGACGTTTTCTGGCGCTGGAATGTCTTCCGACGACTTTGATGTACTCATTGCACCCGCCTCCAGCCAAGAAGATTTGAGGTGACAGCCCTTACAGCCATGACAGACTCTCCCGTTGAGAAGCGGGAGCATTCTCTATGTCACTTATGGCGGGGAGAAAGGACTTACTTCCCTCGCTTTTTGGCCGTCATGCTGCATTGGCCAGCGGATGTCTGAACGGGAACGCAAAAAGCGAGAAGCAGGACTACAAGGAAAAAATTAGGATGACGTTTTTTGAGGGTTTTTTGCTCTTTTTCGCCATACGACTTTTAGAGGATCATCCGAGGCAAGCAGTACGAAGTAATCGCCAACAGGAGGCTGGCAGGGAATAGTAATTGTGAACAGGATCAATGATTTTTGGAGAAGGTAATTCCATGCGTGACATCGCTTTCCTGGTCTTTCCCGAGTTTTCAGATTCTGGACCTTAGTGGTCCGCTGGCCTGCCTTTGAAATCGCTAAAGAGATCGGGGTATCAGATCCCTACTGCTGTTCACGGTAGTCTCGTTGTCGGGCGGCTCCCGTTATGAGTTCGTCTGGTCTGGAAGTAGAGGAGTCAGAAGATCAGATCAAGCCCGTACGATACGTTGATAGTGGTTGGCGGTAAGGCTTTTCCAAACCCTATGACCTTCCCATGGTGTCGGACCACCTCGCTAATGCGGCCGCGAAAGGTACCAGGCGAGTTGCGAGTGTTTGCACCAGGGGCTTCTCCATTGGCTTCGGCGGAGCCTGTTAGACGGTCGCAGGGCTACCTACACTGGAGGCAGACCGCGCGACTGCAACGCAATTTAAAAGGTGCGGGTACAGACCAATCATATATTTACGAAGGATGGTGGCATCTGGACGTCTGCTGGCATCTCTGCGGGAATCGATCTGGCACTGGCTTCATGATTGAGAGGATCACAGAATGCTGTTTCCCATGAGGTCGCCCGCGCCATGGTCATTAATGCCACCGTCGGCCAGGAGGGCAGTCTACAATTTTCAGCCATAGCCGATGCTGGAGCCGACGACGGATCGCATGAGGAGAGTGCTTTCCTACATGCGAGAGCATCTAAACGAACAGCTATCAACAGAGCATCTGGCATCAATTGCTTGCTCAGCTTCCGCCAATTTGGTCGAGCCTTTCTCTGCTGGAAGCAGGGAAACACCCGCTAAAGCTGTGGAGCGTTTGCGTGTCGAGTCGCGAGCGCGCGTTGAACGTGGGGCGGAACCGATCGAACTGATAAAGCACCTCGGTTGGCTTCAAGGATCCGGAGCGGATGCGCAGAGCCTTCATCAGAGTTATCGGGCACCCTCCTCAAAGCATCAGACGGCTGGCCGCACATCAGGGTGTTAGCGCTTATGAGGTTGCGGTTGAGGCTGAAGTGTCTTAACTGCACGCTCAGGGTTCATTGCGCTCGGCGCAATCCCTTTGCAACGGCGTATTTGAGCGCTGTACCGAAAGTCTATTCCTCTTAAAGCCGAGCACACAACTTGAACGAAGTAATACCGAAAAAAAAAAATG